TCTTCCTTCCATCTGGATCCTGCAAATCACACTAGGAAGGAAGATGAAGTAGGATGCTTCCTAGCATAGCTCCTTTAGCATAGGAACCTTCTGATGTTCTGATCTGCTGCTGGGAGCTGTAAGGATTTCCACAATCCCCCTCATTTCCTCCTGGTCTCCAGGTGACACATAGAGCTCCAGATGTTTGGGGTTTTCTAACAGTGAGCCTCAGCTGTTCTCAAGATTTGGCGAATATCTGGGCTTCTGTGCATATCTGCAGTGCTTGTACCTGGAAGCCATGCTTGCCCCTCCACCATGTGGTGTCCTCTTTGGGTGGCATGTCGATCACAGACACGATGTCTCCAACCTGCAGGAAAACCACAGGAGGAAAAGGAAGGTTTTGAAGCCATCATCAAACACTGTGGAGCAAAAACATGATCTGCTTCTACAAACTGCTAAACTCTGAAAACAGTTTCAGGTTCCAAACCATGAGAGATGGTTCTGGACTCATTCTAAGAGCTGAAGGAGAATCATCTGACCCATGCAGTTCAGGATGAGTGTTCTGGATGCATGCATAGCCATGTGACCAGAGGTGGGAACAGTTTAGCCATATGAGTGGTACTGATACTTTAGCATTAAAACTAGGGGGGTGAATGACTTAACAATATGGGGTACCAATACCTAACTGTATGACCAGGGAGTGAATACTTTAGCATTATGACCAGGGAGTGAATACTTTAGCATTAAGACCAGGGAGTGAATACTTTAGCATTAAGACCAGGGAGTGAATACTTTAGCTGCATTATCAGGTAGTAGGGTTAACCCTACACCTAACCCTAATGGATGGGTCTCTGCTGCCCGTCTGTATCGACAGATAACAGAGGACAGATGAACCCTGCGGTGATGCGGTGAGTCCAGCTGGCTCCCATCAGGAACCAGTTCCCTCTGCCTACTGTCACCTCAAAGGAAAGCTCGTCTGAGGCCTGAGCGATGTAGCGTTTGATGACGTGAGCAGCAGCGATGGCGGGAACATTGATGGAGGACTCCTCATGGACCAACAGGTGGTTCCCCTTATTGTCCACCTGTCCAACACACACAGCGAGGCATTAGTGGGTCCACAGAAGGCGGGACTGTCTCCACAGTTTGAACATCTGGAGCAAAAAGGCGGAACCCCACAGAACCCAGCAGAAACATGGATCATCAACCAGCCCTGATGTTTCCCTGACTGTCCTGCAGGACTTCAGACGCCCCTCAGAGGAACCTACCCTCAGTATGCGGAAGGAGGATCATGGAGGCTAACTAGCAGAACTAGAAGGAATCAGGCCGGTTCTGGAAGGAACAATCATTTCAAAACAAAGACCTTACCTCCATCCAGGTGAGGGCGGGGCCACAGTTGATCTTGTTGTCAGCTATAGCTGAGAGTCGAGAGAGGTAAGCCAACAACATCTGGGAGACAGACTGAGGAGGGGAGAGAGGCCAGCGTTACTCCAACTGGGTTACCACGGTAACACATTTAAAAGCCTGAATCTGCACCTCCAGCTTTTCAGTGAGACCGGAGGCAGTTCCCAGCACCACCTACTGGTCTCACTGGAGGACGTCAGCTTCCTGCAGAAACATGAACTGGGCATGGATCAAAGGACATGATCAGACCACTCACCTCTGTCTGGTCAGTCAGACTGTCCAGCCGAGGCAGCTCAGGCAGCTGGGAAAAGCGCCTGTCATAGATGCAGAGATGGAGGTGCTTGTCCAAAACACGGAAGTCCTCATAGCTGCGCTTCACGATCCAACTTCGGCCCTTCAGGAACAAAACCAGCCATCAGAGAACTGCACTGCTAAACTTACACAGCCTGCTGCAGCGCTACACACACAGAGCCTACTGCACTGCTGCACGCACAAAGCCTGCTGCACACACACAGCCAGCTGTACTGCTGACCACACACAGCCTGCTGCACACACACAGCCTGCTGCACTGCTGACCTCACACAGCCTACTGTACTGATGACCTCACACAGCCAGATGTACTGATGACCACACACAGCCTGCTGTACTGATGACCTCACACAGCCAGCTGTACTGATGACCACACACAGCCTGCTGTACTGATGACCTCACACAGCCTGCTGTACTGATGACCTCACACAGCCTGCTGTACTGATGACCTCACACAGCCTGCTGTACTGATGACCACACACAGCCTAGTTTACTGATGACCTCACACAGCCTGCTTCACACACACAGCCAGCTGTACTGATGACCTCACATAGCCTGCTGCACACACACAGCCAGCTGTACTGATGACCTCACAGAGCCTGCTGCACTGCTGACCACACACAGCCTGCTGTACTGATGACCTCGCACAGCCTGCTGCACACACACAGCCTGCTGCAATGCTGACCTCACACAGCCTACTGTACTGATGACCTCACACAGCCTGCTGCAATGCTGACCTCACACAGCCTGCTGCACTGCTGACCTCACACAGCCTACTTTAGTGATGACCTCACACAGCCTGCTGCACACACACAGCCTTCTGTACTGATGACCTCACACAGCCTGCTGCACACACACAGCCTGCTGTACTGATGATCTCACACAGCCTGCTGTACTGATGACCACACACAACCTGCTGCACACACACAGCCTGCTGCACTGCTGACCTTACACAGCCTGCTGTACTGATGACCTCACACAGCCTGCTGTACTGCTGACCACACACAGCCTGCTGTACTGATGACCTCACACAGCCTGCTGCACTCCTGACCTCACACAGCCAGCTGTACTGATGACCACATAGAGCCTGCTGTACTGATGACCACACACAACCTGCTGCACACACACAGCCAGCTGTACTGATTACCTCACACAGCCTGCTGTACTGCTGACCACACACAGCCTGCTGTACTGCTGACCACACACAGCCTGCTGTACTGCTGACCTCACGCAACCTGCTGCACTGTTGCACTGCTGAACACACACAGCCTGCTGAACTTGTATTACTTGGATATAGTTAGATGTGTTCCATGACTGTTGTACTAAATTTTTTGGGGGGATTTTCATCAATTGTAAGATAATAAATATCTAAAAAAGAAACATCTAATGCTAATGGTAAGCTCTGTACTGTGATGATTGGACAACATCTGGGCCAACATCAGCGAGACGTGGCAACCCTGTTAGGCTTGGATTCAGGAGTTGTCTTTAGAAATAAAGACAATTAGCAGCCTACTCAGCCTTTCCAGAAACTCCCTGCCAACCATGAAAGTACAAACCCAGATTTTATTCCTCCAATCCTCTTTATTCATGGTAACCTAGTTTTTATCAAAACAAAAACAGGATTTTAGTCTTGTTCTTTCAGTTACTGTTAAAGAAGCTCCAGCCCTTAGAGAGAGAAACCAGAGGTGAAGAAAGTCTTCTGCTTTGATCTGCCAGAGAAGGCTGCATGTGAACTGAAGCCAGGACATGTGGGACTAAGGCTGCGCACAGAGATTCAAAAAGGCTGGCAGGGAGAGACGCTACAGGGAGGACTCTGTGGGCTTCTCTGCCCCACTTTAGTCGTTCTCCTCTGTTAGCTTGGTGACACCCCAACGTCTCACTGCACTTCTCCTGCTGAGGAGTCTGACCTCCAGGCCGTGTTCAGGCAGGACTTCTGCTGGTTTGGCTAAAAGAACAGCAGCAAATTTACTGTTTGCTTTTTTTTCAACAGACTTCCATTTGTTGAAATGAATCAGCATCTGACACCTCTGCAGAGAAGGATGAAGATCAGAGGCTCCTGCTGGTGCGTGCTCTGCTCGGTTACACAGAGTGATGCAGGAAGGCCTGCGCTCTTACCTGGCAGTAAATATGAACCAAGTACACCAGCTCTTTGGACTCAGAACCATTGCGGGTCACCTCGCTCTGCTCGTCTCCCAGGGACAGCTGTAAGACAGAAAACAGAACGGATGAAACCAAGTGGACCACAGCACCAGACATTAAAGGCATTTAGTGTTTGATGGAACCAGCTTAGAAACAACCAGTTTAATACCAGGAACAATTAATTAACATACAAAATCAGTGTATAAGATAAAACAGCTGTATCTGGGATACAAAACACAAAATTTAATAAAGAACCAGTTCCATAGGAACACTTTCAACATCTATTATAAATAACAAGAACAGAGAAAGAATAGAGCAGTTTATATGACAGGGGCGGACTGTGGCCCAGGAGTCCCTACCAGACTGGCCCACCTACTTGGGCTTGGTTTAAAATGTATATTATAAATATACATTTATAAATATTAATATAATAAATAAATATTTATTT